ATTACATCAGTGTTCTTCCAGGTGACTTCACGAGTTATTAGAGTAGCTTGAACTTACATGCTTGCTCAGGCTTCTAAAACAGAGTGTGAAGGTCACACTGTAGAAAACCCACATTGCATTGTGGGCTGGGAGATCTTTTTGGGGTCATTTGGAAAATGAAATCTGAACCTGACAATTTATTTCATTTTCTTATCTGTTAAAATAATATTTAGCCCACACAGAATGGTTAAGAAAAATAACACAGTACCAAACACATCATCTCATTTGATTCATAGCGACCCTGTAAGATAGAGTAACATCGCCCCATGGGCTTTCCTGTAAATCTTTACAGGAGTTGCTGTTATATGCCATGGAGTCACCTATGACTCATAGTGACCCTATACATAATAGCTGTGGCCCTATCCTGAGCTGGTATAATATATGTAATAATCTATAGCTATTTGGTTTTATAACATTCATTGCCATTGATGAATGTAGTCAAGGAAGACTTGTTAGTACAACTATCATTCAAATTTGCGTAGCAACCACTAAAGCCAAAGATGAAGAAAATAAGGACTTCTACCAGCTTTTACAGTCTGAAATTGATCAGACATGCAGACAAGTTGTGTTAATGTTAATTTGTGACTAGAATGGAAAAGTTGGACACAAAGGAGGAGGACTGGTAGTCAAAATAATGTTGAGATTAAACAGACCCATCAGTTACTCATGTGCAAGTTCAAATTGAAGCCTAAGGAAATTAATACAACTTCACAGGAGCCATGTAAAAAGAGCAGGAGCTCCATGGGGATGGCCATATCTGACTTTGACCAAATCATCAAAGGGGAACTGTCCCCATCAGCAACACCACAACACAAAACCAAGTCCCATGAAGACATACTTGTCCCCCAAGTTCCCACACCTATTTCTACTTCAACACTAATCTTGCTGCTTTGTTGTTGTTGTACCATAGAGTCAGAACCAACCCATAGCTGATCCTCTGGCAGGTTTTCAGAGGTAGTTAATTGCATGGGTGGAGGTTTCCCATCCTTCTCCTATAGAGTAGCTAGTGGCCTCAAACCATGTGCCTTCAGGATTGCAGCACTGCTTCTTGCCACTAGGCCTCCAGTCTTTTTGCATTGTTGTGTTGTTGTTGTTATGTGTCCTCGAGTTGCTTGCGACTCATAGTGACCCTATGTACAACAGCCTATACCGGGCTCTATCCTGTGCTAATCTTACTGTCTGACACACCTAACCCCATTATCCCAGTCACTGAATCTGTCCATCTCATCAAGAGTCTTCCACTCTTGCTCTGTCTGTCCACCTTCCCAAGCATCATATCTCTGTCCAAGGACTAGTCCTTCCTTGCAGCATATCCAGAATATGGCAGACGAAGCTTCAGAATCTTTGCTTCCATGGAGCAGCCTGGTTTCACCCTCTCTATGACGAACCTGTTTATTCTCCTAGCAGTCCATATATTACATACTCTTCTCCAGCACCACAGCTTAAAGGCATCAATTCTCCTTCTGTCATCCCTAGTCATTGTCCAGCTTTCTTTTTTTTTCTTCTTTTTTTCAAGACAAGGTGCCTTAACACACAACAGGACATGTGGCTCTAAGTCACCAGTTCTCAGGGCCGTTTGGCCATTGTCCAGCTTTCTGACACATAGCATATAATTGGAAATTGGGCGCACTTTGGTCTCTAGACTGACAGTGTTGCTGTTCTGTAGTTTGGAGAGGTCTCTGACAGCAGACTTTCCCAATGCAATTTGTCTTTTGGTTTCCTGGCTGCTGGTACCAAGAGTATTGATTGTGTAGCCAACCAGACTGAAACTTACTGTTTTCGGGTCTAAAATGAGATGAGATAGTTCACAGATCACACAGAACCATAGTAGGAAAGTCAAAAGGCAGCAAGATAAAGTCACTAAAGCTTCTGAAACTTAAAGGCACGAGCTTTGTGGCTTTAGACCAATGTTAACAAAGCTCTCAGTCCTGTCAATTATGGCTGCCTCATCTCTTGTCCACCGGTAAGCTTGAATAAAGCTCTTAGTTCTGGTTCTGTCTGGGGTAGCAAGTCTGTCTCCTGTCTCTCTTTTTCTGCTGCTGGCTGCTATGGCGTCTGCTCCCTTAGACCCTGGTCTGGTTGGTGCACAAATTTTTGGTTCTCAAGGACATGCTGAATGCTCTTGCTGCTTATTTGCTGGTAGTCACATTCTCTAATTCTACTGCTGGATCTGGCTAGGTTAGGCAGTCTCCGTATAGGAATAGGTTAACTATGTACAGCAGCCCTAAACTTTGCTCTGTCCTGTGCCAATCGCACTGTCTCTGACACTCCCATCCCGATTACCCCAGTCACT